GATTTTCTCATCAGCAAAGTGAGGAACACAAAACTTTCCTCATGGGATCATTGTCGGATTAATGTCTTCACCACGGTGATTTTTATTACCCCAAATCCAGCTCCATGGCACCTCCTCAGGGAAGCCCACCCTGATTCCACCTGGGTGAACACTCCAAAAATAACTAAAACATTCTATATTTTCTATGATAAGAACATAATAACATAAAATAACATATTCGTAAATTGTGTTATGTATTAGTCACATTTTAGACTATTTTCTTATACTTTAAACTGTAAGCACATATATATACATATACACACACACACAGACACACACACACACAATGTACTACTTTTTTTAAACCTCAGCTGTATCCCAACCCCATTGCTAGTTCCTGAAGGAAAATGACCTTATTCTTCTGGTAGTCCTGGAGCATGCTGATGCCCGCCTGGCACATAGTAGGTGCTCATTAAATGTAAGTTGACTCCCTTTCTCCTCTGGCCCCAGCGCACTCAGAGACCAATCGTTCCTAGGTACAGGGTTGGACAGTTGGTCTAGCGCCTTCTTTATCACTCTCTCCTTGGGAAGGAGGCGTCACTTGGAAAGTGGTAACAAAGTTTCTAACTTCTCTCTTTTGGGGCCCCCGGGCAGGAGGTGGGGTAGGCAGGGATGGAGGGAGCATGACTTTCAGTGTGTCTCTGAGCCACTGGATTGATGGTCTTCCTCCCTGTGCACCCCTTACTTTTGCCCTCATAGTTGCTGAGGGCAGACTCGCCCCACTGCTCCCTGAGCAATCTGTGCAGATATCTAAATACGGGAGAAAAGAGAGCGTCACAGTCACTTCTCGTGATGTTAAAAAAATGGCTTAATGAGTAAGAAGACCCTTGTCTCAAATATGAGGAGAGGTGAGATGCTTTAGGGGATCAGAGCATTTCTGGCACTGTGGCTGGAGAGAGCCTAGCGGCACGCTACACACAGGAACGCACAGCGCAAATTTAAGGAAAAAATCCTCACTCAGGGTCTTCCAGAACTATTCGTGCAATTTTCAGCTTTGATAAGGTCATAAGAGGTTGTACAACTTGCAAAGAAACACCATTTAAAAGCTTATTTAAATTTCTTTTATGTTTAGTGAATTTCAAATAATATTTAAAATCCGTTCCTGTAAAATTTAAATGGAAAATTTTGGTTCCTTCTCTTTTTTCTTTAATGGGTAGGACCCGTCCTATGGGTACACCTCCCTGAGTTTATTCCTCATCCGGAAAATGAGAGAATGGACAGTGATAAGCACACCGCTGCCACGTGCAAAGTACGTCTGCATATACTGCATTTGATTCTCACAGGAACCATCTAGGGTAGGGGATGATTTCCTTCCCATTTTATAGATGAAAACATTGAGGCTCAGAACATGATTTGGTGAAAGGCATACAGTCAGTTGTGAGGGAGGCAGAACCCACTGCACTGTAACATTTCACTGCCCATCAGAGGGGTCCTCCCCTCTTCCTTGGAGTTGCCTCTGAATCTAGTCCTGGGCTGCTCGTAGGATCCTCCTAGCACCAGAGGAACTGTCCAGATGTGATGTCCTAGAGCTGGGGCCGCCCCTCCCTGTTTGCATAAGAGGGGGCAGGGGTCCTCCAGACTAGGTGGGAGAGCTGCGGACATGGAGGTTGGACTCCCACCCCACTGAGCACACAGAGTGTGGACCAGCCCATCTCAGGCAGCGGGGGTGGGAGGCGGGTGGTACCCTGCCTGCATCTTCCTTCCAGCCTGCTGCTCGGGGCCTGAGGACTCTTTTTCCAGGCGTTTTACTGCTCCTCAGCTTTGCCTCCCAGATCTCTTTAGGCCACAGTATTAGAATGCGGCTACTGACGTATAATCAGGAAAAGAGAAAGCCTAAACATTTCATAAAATGCGTCTGTCGAACCAAGTTGGAAAGGATTGATAAAGGCATCCTGTTTGTATTAGGTAGAAGCTGTAATCAATTTCCACCCCATTCCCAAACCCCCAAATGCAAGAGGTGAGCAGCTTGGGTTCAGAGGAAAAGCAGGATCAAGATTCCAGCTGGAAATGGTTCGAGGCATCCTGGAGGCCAGGGCTGAGATCCAGTCCTGGGTGGGGACCACTCCATTCACTAAGACATACTTCCCGGTGCCAAAACCAACAGTTCTGGGCTCCCAGCTCCTTACCATTCAGAGGAATGCTCCCTTTCTTAGCATTTCCCAAGACACACACACACACACACACACACACACACACACACACACACACACACACAACCTGGACAAGACCCAAACACTCACCCTAAATGGCAAAATCATCTATTTGACCCCAGAAAGGTTTCTTCTGAAAAGCCACTGATGTCACTGAGAAGATTGCAAATTCCATAAAAAGTTTTCACAGATATGTGAAAACAAAGAGACTGACTTCTTTTCTTTAAAGATAATTTATTTCAGTTTCCACCTTCTGACAATCTGAGGTGTGATATACAGACATTTATTTTTCTTCACAGAAAACAGCTCGATTTTAGCACTGTTCTGAGATCCTCAACCTTGAAACTTTCTCAACCTTAAAATATAGTTTGTAGAACATCACCTAGTGGGACACAAAATTGCATAACTGTAACACAGAAAAGACCTGCACCACTGAACTCACTTTTGGGCTACTAAAGGTGACGTCTGGATGTGGCGATGGCAAGTTTAGGTCTGAGACGAGCTGGGGTGAAAGGGAAAACGGAATGCACGCATGTCAACCATCACCGAAAGCCCTGACAGAAGCCACAGTTCATTAAAAAAAAAAAAAAAAAGGCGGTTGACTGACCATTTCCATATATTTTAAGGGGATCTATGACTGTTGTTTGAATTTCTGGCATGTCCTAGCGTTCAAATGTTTGGCTTGTCTTTCTCGAGGCATCCATGAGAAGTGAGAGCCCCAGGCTTGTTTACAACCTCACGGGCAGGGGAACCTAAGCCTCGCTGTCTCCATCCAGCCTGGGAAAGAGATCGGGACCCTACCAGGTCGGCACCTCCGTGTGGAGATGGTGTCTGATGTGCGCTTCTCTCTTCTCTTTTCAGGAGCACGTGGCCCCAGGAGAGAGCAGGCACAGTCCCCCATTCGAGGACTGACCCATAGGTCATTTGCCAGCAGGAGTCCTCTTTCTAGTTAAAGTGCAAACACTGCTCAGGGAACTCCAGATGGCAGCGGGCTCCAGCCTGACTTTGCTTTGTCAAAGCCTGGAGTCTGCAGGTCAAGCCGGGATCCGGGTTCTCCCTCATGGTGCCCAAGTCCTGTGGGAGCTGTATGTGGAAGCAACCAGAAGATGGGCAAATCCAGACCATCCTGACTCTCTCGTGGAAATGGTGAGATTCCCCCTTTCCAACAGTAACCAAGGCACTGGGAGCCCTGCAACAGATGAACCCTGGGGACCTCGCCAGGGCTGGGGTTCCACTCCCCAGCTCTCCATCTCACTGCTCAGAGCTCAGACTGGCCGACTTGGGAACACAGGCTAATGCCGGGTGCCCAGGGGATAACGCAGGCTGGCCCTCGAGGTGTTCCTTCCATCCCTCCCCAGGGGCACAAGACACACGAGCCCAGGGATAGCAAGAGAGATCCAGGCCCAGAATGGAGCCCCCCAGAGCCTGCCTTGGTCGTAGCGCTGAGGATGTTCACTGGATGTGAACAATCTGGGAATGATTTATCCATTTGTTATCTGGAGAACCACCTGTTCCTATTCCTGCCACGTGGTGACAAGGACGGCTGGGATGTATGGCTGTGTGGCTTGAGTAAGCCCTCTTCCTGTCCGGGGTCTGAACATTGCACATTAGTCAGTCGGGGGCACTTCTAGTCGATACAACTTCCCTTTACTGTGACACTTGGCTGAAAACTTTTCAAGTAAAACTCATCCCCGAGAATCATAAAAAGGAATAAACGATTTGCAGGAAAGCAGGCCGAGACCGTTGAGTCGTAAGAGCGATGATTTAGGAGAACTAAAAGAACTTAAAAAATGGGGGTGGGAGGGAGCAAGAACCACCCTTGGAGCAAAGGGTCTCAGGGGACCCTCGCCCGGCAGCTTCAACAGTTGAGGAGGATGAGAGGACATGAGCCTGAGACCGGGCTGGGCGTGGTGGGAGGGGGCTCACTGCACCCCACTCCAGAGGTTGGGGCTGGGCCTGGCACCCTCCTGCCTTCTCCCCCCACCCCTTCCCAAGCCCCCACATTTTGGGCAAGGGACTCAGCCCTGTTGTATAGCTGTCTGAAGTTTTAGGTAATTTGGTAACCAAGCTGACCTAACCATGGGTCTTCCTGGATTCTCCCTAATTAAAAACCCAAAGGTTAGGGTGCTGTAACACCCAAGAAGGCCAGGCTTGCAGCTTGTGGCCCTGACTTCCGGTTACGGTCACCTGGCTTAGTCGAAACCTCTTACAAACTTCTCTGCAGAGTGAATGCTGTACTTCTCACAACAGGAGGCTGGAATACCGGGAGCTCTGGCAGATAACACACATACAATAGTCCCCGGAAGAGCAAACCTCAGGCTGTTGCCTTGTTGCCAGGACAATCAACCCATTGTCTCCCTGGGCCTGGAGAGGTGAGAACAGGATCCATTGGCATAGGTACCTCTGATTATCGCCCTGGCCTCTGTCCTAAACCCAGCACCGTGGGCTCGCTGCGTTGACCTGAACAGTCCAGGTTTTCATTTGGGTACAGAGGTGAGAACAGGATCCATTGGCATAGGTACCTCAGATTATCGCCCTGGCCTCTGTCCTAACCCAGCACCGTGGGCTCACTGCGTTAACCTGAACAGTCCAGGTTTTCATTTGGGTAGAGGATTCAGGAAGTAGACTCTTGTTCTAGTCTTCCTTTCGGTAAGTCCTAATAGGCCCACTCTTTTCTTTTGGCAATAGGAAAATCACAGTCTACTCCATCTCACTGTACAAATAACTCGTGATATCAGAATTTGGTTCTCCTGCCTTTGGTTGAATGCACACATGCACACACACATAGCAGATGCAATCTGAATATTAACATAGCCCCTCTTAAACATCCATCGATATTGCTAAAATTACAACAAAGGTTAAAATCATACAATCTCAGCATCATCCCATTTTTCTAAGCAGGAGACTTTTACTTGAGAGAATTAACTGTCTTTTGGCTCACTATGATTCACATAGCCCTGAGGGACAGACAACATAAAATCTAAAATGCCACTGCCAGTGACAGGCCTTCAAAGCTCCTGGTTTGGGACACTCTACCTGCTGGGACTGAAAACTCTTCTTGGATATGATCTGTTGCTTCCTGCACAGAGTCTAAGGTTCCTGAGTTTACAGGAAGGGCTACCAGAGCTCTCTTTGCCCACAGTGTCATGTGTGTGCGCCAGGGTCAGACAGCTCCACACGCCGGGACCTCTGAGAGCGTGTTCTGTGTCTGCCCACCACCAGAGCCCACTCACATCTGTTCTGGCCACGCCCCGGAGGGAAGAGACGATGTCACAGGGAGGAGGTAGGAAATATCAGTGCGGCAAGCTGCCAGCCCCCTTCCAGGGACACCGTGCTCCTCCAGGTGACATTGGCCAGAGGCACTCTAAGGCGAAATGCTCAGCCAAAGGCAGCTGTCAACGGGAGACAGGGTGGCCTCCTGTCCCCTTGGCACTGGTCTCAGCAAGGCAGGCCCGTCTCTGCCAGCATCCGCTCGTGAGGCGGAGCATGACAGGCAGCCGCCCTGGGGTCAGACTTACTCCACTCTGAGGAGCGGGGTCTAGGAGAACAAGGAGCGAGAGGGGAAAAACCAAAGCGACCCTCACTTCCACCAATTGCTATCTCGAGGCCTATTAAAAAAAAAAAGTCTCCAGGTCATTTGTGAAGTTAAAGTGCTTGGAAAAGCCCAAAGAAGTTGAAGCTGCATCTCCTTCCAAAGACTGTGTGCTCCCGCCCCCACAGAAAGTCTCTGAATCCACTTTTCTTTCTCTAGGAATCAGACCGAATCAAAACTTCTACACAAAAAATCTTATATATACAAGGTTAGGTCTTTCGGGCACCTTGAAGTCTTAATGCATCTCAACTAACTACTAAGAAATGACCCAGAAAGCCGACGAGGGCAAGGCAAAGGGGGGGCCTCCATGGCAGCTCTGTGGGAGCCTCGGACGAGCCACCTGGTGTGGCCCTGATTCTACAGAAAGGGAAAGGGAGCACAATGCATCCGGGTCGTGGCTGAATGTTTAATGGGGGTGCATTATCTGAAGGAGGCATTGGAAAACGGGGTGCCCAAAGACCCATTGATTTGACATTCTTTCTCTGAAATGCATTCAGTAGAGACATGCACCATCACTGGGGCCCCACAATGGGGTTGGGGGCACACTACAGCCTGTGTGACCTGTCCTGGCACGCAGCAAGCAAACCGGCAACACAGCCGTGCTTTGTTTATTGTGACATCGCCAGATAGCCTGACATGTCTCTGTCTCTCTCTCACACACAGACACACACAGACACACACACACTCTCTCTCACCACCATCAAAAAACGAACGGGGTTTCCGAAGCCCTGCTCTACAGCTCTCCTGCTGACAACAGTTCATACTGTGCACTCAGGCTGCACCATTTCATGGCGCCTCCCTTACGACTGCTCAGATGGGCACTCAGTGGCTCAACCAACACCTGTTCTTCTCAGGAACATTCCGGGGAGGCAGTCCACCAGGGAACCCTTTTGAGCACTGGTTGGATAAGTGACTATCAGGCATGTATTTGCCATGCTCAAGAGGAGACAGTAAAGTAATGTGATTGCGAGTTGGAGAAGGGGAAACAGGACGGGAGAATGAAAGGCGAAGAGACCCCCATGGGCCTGTTTCAAGGTCAGTGCCCAAGAGCGATGGGCGGGAGGCAGAGGGAACCAGGTGAAATATTCATACCAGAGGAGCCAGCATGCTGGATGCTTGGGGATCAGACTTCAGTGCCCTGGGGGCTGGTCCCCCTGGCGACAAACCAGGGAGAAGAGCCACGCCTCCCAGGCACCGGATGAGAGACGAGGGGCTATCTGCGGAGTCTGCAGGAAAGATCTCGAAGGGCTTGGGCTGCGGAAGGTAAAGGTGTCATCCCAAGGCTGCCGGGTGGTGGAGACCCAAAGGCACTCCGCTAAAGAGCCTCGCACAACTGCCACCAGAAGCCGCCTGTGCCCAGCTGTCTCTAATACTGACACAGGTTTTTCTGTCTTTTTTGAAGTAAAGAGCAGCACTATTTGCTTTGCAAAAGGACGGCTGTCTTGCAGCTACTGAAGAAACTTCTTTTCTGTGCTCCTTCCTGGGACAGCCAGCCTGATGCTACTCCTAGGGAATGAGTGGTGGGAATTTTTCTGCTTTAGGAGGAAGCTTCCAGCTGACCAGGAATGTTTCAGAGGGTCTGACAGACACCTGGGTGCCAGGTGTGACTAATACAGAGATGTCCTCAGGGCATGCCACACCCAACTGCGGCCAGGCCTTCGGCCTCCAGGAAGGAATGTCCTCTGCACCAGTCTCTTTCTCTAAAATAGGAGGCATCTCTCCTCAAGGTTCCTGTGACTCCAGTTCCTGTCACATGGAGGTGGGGAACCAGGAAAAAGCCAGCACCAGCCGTGGACCAACACCGAGAGGGCCACTGCCACCTCTGCACACCGCCACTCAGCAGGAGCCCTGACTGTGGGAGTCTACCCGTCCCAAGCCTGAAGCAGAGGGCCCCAAATCATCACCCACGACTGCCCGTGTCATCGATGTGTGCCCTTATCTACATTCCCATGAGCACCCCACCCTCTCTCTCCTGCAGGAGGCTGCGGGCAGACAGTGCCCTGTGCCCACCCTGGCCCTGGCCTCCTTCCCTCTCTTCCTTCAGTCCCATGTCACAGGCCTGACACTTGGGGGTATGGACAGTCACCTCATTTTAGCCATGTAATCCCAGGGACACTTTGGCATGTGGATGGGGGAGCAGACACAGGCAGAGGGGAGATGGGGAGAAAAGGCAACCGGAGTCTTCTAACTGCTAGTTCTGAGGCAGCGTGGAGAGGCTCTAGGTGCTGCCGGTGTCATGCAGGGTCATTGGGTGGGGTCACGGTCAATCGCCGGCCAAGGAGAGCTGCGTGCACCCTCGGTCCTCCGGAGGTGTGCCTCAGGCGCCCTCCTGTGCCTACTCAGTGGCCATCTGCTCGATGTGGTCGCTCAGCAGCTTGTATTGCTCTGGAAGAGAGCGCAAGGCTGGGTCAGGGAGGAAAGGTGGTGGCAGGGACAGGCAGTTCCTGCTCCGACTGAGACAATGACAAATCAGGACTTCATCGGGACCAGCGGCTGCGGGCTTCTGAAAGCGTGTGACGAGGACAGAGCCCTTGGCCACCAGCACACTGCGTGTCGTGCACAAACGTGCACCCGGAAGTGGGCTCCTTGGAACTGGGGAGCCTCTTCCCAAGGAAGTGATGCTCCGGGGGGGGGGGGGGCCCCGCGGGCTGGGGGGCCCTGCAGGCAGGCCCTACGGGAAGACTGCACGAGGCACGGGGCGGGCGGAGCCCAGGTCCCGGAGACTGCACAGGGGCCGCGGGGCGCGAGAGGGGACAGTGTTGCTGCCCTTGCTGGCGTGGTGGGGCTGGTGACCACATGTGAGATCATCTAGGGGCGCCTCTAACACTCTCTCCTCTCCCGAGGCCACTCGTCTGTGGCTCCTTTAATGTGGAGCAGAATGAGGTTTTTAAAAAAGAACACTGGTCAGTCCGAACACACATTTAAGTGGAGGGCTGCGGAGGCTGAGGAGGAGCTATCTGCGGCAGGTGGGGCGACGCAGGAAGGTGGGGGCCCGGCCAGAGATCAGAGGAGCTGACGCAGCAACATAGTTCCTTTTGTTAAAGAAGCCGGAAACTCTGGAAGAACCTCAAGACCCCGTCTCCACCCACCCTCTCATCCCCGTACCTCTCATGGCAGGGTATTTCAAGAAACAAAGGGAGGCCACATGGTGGCCATTTGGGAGAGGCAGATCGTGGCCAGAGTTTGACCATTCTCTAGCTCTGAGCCCCATGTTACAGCTTCACCTTTGGCCCTGACTGAACACGGAGCTGGCAGGCCTTCCCCCGCCGCTGGCAAACCCTGCTTAACAGAAAGGGATTTCCAAATGGAATGAGAAGCATCCCATTCATTTAGGTAGACAGAAACGGGAGGGGTGACAACCAGATAGTTTAACGTACTTCTCATTAAAATAGGGCTAATCCTTCCAGCCCGGTGGGAAATTCTAGTCTGCAGAGCATTTGTTCCTAAAACTCCAGCCCTTCCTGCCTCTGGCATGACTCACCTTCGTCCAGGTTGCCGATCACAGCCTGCTTCTTCAGGAAGTCATTGCACAGCTTCTTGTTCAGACCAAATGCCAGCATGTTGTGAGTGAATGTGCTGGAGGGAAAAACACCCATGAGCCAGCACCCCTCCTACCTCCCCGGGGAGAGGGCTCTGGGCCCCGGGCCCTTCTCTCCTGGAGGCCAAACATCCAGGCCACCTGGAATTGTCAAACAAAAGTAAAAATAAATCGTTCCTTTGCCAGCCAGCCAACAATGCTGTGAAACTGCCCGCCACCAGGTGTGCTGACAGGATGGACCAGGAGCTGGAATCTAGGCCAAACGTAATGAATCATAAGCTTCTGAGCTGTTAAAGGCCGCAGTGTTGAACTGATATTGTGTCGTGGATGTGTGACGCTGTGAGGGGTGGTGCTCCCCTCCGGAGCCCCCAGGCTGAAGTGTCCCGGCCGGCCCCCTCCTCACTGGGTCTGGCCCCTGACTCGCCCCTCTCTCTAGGTCACCAGTGGTGAGGCTTCGGCCCCCAGCGCGCTTACCCCAGCTGCCCGAAGGTGATGTTCTCGTTGAACCGCAGGCTATCGTCACGCTCCTCCTGGGTCATGTGGCACCACTTCTCCCTGCAAGCACAGGAGGTGACAGGAGAGGGTGTCCAGAGTGCTGTTGCGTCCCCAGCCACTCGCCCCTCCTCTGCTCAGACCTAGAGGTGTCGGCGGCACCCAAGCATGGCCTCCTTAAAAGAGGAGCTGCTCACTTTGCTTTCACACGGAGCCCACCAGAGTCCCGACACTCTGCCTGGGGGCCCCAAATACCAACTGACTTAAATCATCCTTCCTAAGATGAGATCCAAAGCTCATATGCTTTCTACTGACCGGAGATGGCATATGCTTAGTGGTTGCCTAGAACATTCTCTAGGAGACAAGAATGCCATCCCCCATGTCCTCTCTATGTTCAAGAATGGGAGGTCACGGCCCCAATTCATGGGCAGACAGACCTGCAGAGGAAAGGACCCCACCAGCGTCCTGTGGGGCATGAGCGCCCCGATCCCGGCCAGGAGGCTCTCAGACTCGAGCTACGTCTCCAGACCTCACCGGCTTGGTGGCTCTACTCTGCCAGCGAGGGCATGGCCCACTGGGAAAGGCCCGGGGAGCAGGGAGGCTGAAGGGCTCTGCTGCCCACGCTGTCTGGCCAGGCAGCCTTGGCTCTGCTGAAAGTCGTTTCTTCCCCTTGGCTTCCTTAGAGCTGACGCTGACTCCACGCCCCTCCCGGGGCACATGGACCGGACCCACGTTCTCCCCTTGGACCTCTTAGGACACATGGTGACCTGTGTCCACCATGAAGATGGTACAGACCTCTAGCGCAAAATGCAAAACCCCGATGAGAAAGGAAGTTGGTCTGTGTGTGACTTCGCAACTGGGACCGAAGACTCTGCCTGCCAGTTCTTTGTGGAGAAACAGTAGCGAGCACAGGGCTTGGGGAGCGGAGTGATTCTGGGTCCCTGTGTGAAGCCATCTCTCCCTCCCCTCACTGCAGAGCACCCTTGTCCCAAGGGGAGGGGGGACCGCCCCACCATGTCCCCCGCGGGGTAAGGGACACACTGTGTCTGTCTAGAAGTGTAGACGGTGAGGCTAAGCTCATTTTGGCCAACTTCCCCTTAAAAATTAAACTCTGGATAATGAGTCTGACTAAAACGAGGTTAAGAGAAAGATCAAAGAAAAGGGAGAGACGAGGCAGTATGAGGGACGAGGGGTTGGGGTAATGGAGAAGCCAGAGAAAGAGAAACAGAACCAAGAACATCAACACTTCACCTCTCCACCCTCCTGGCCCAGCTGCAGCAGCTCAGCGGGAGGCCGCGGTCCATCAGCGGCACGACAGAGGCAAAGGGAAGTGTGGCTCCGTCTCCTCGTGCCGATGACAGGACACCCGGGAAGTACTTCCCAGGACATGCTTCCAGCTGCTGTGTTGATCCCATCCCACCCCACTGTCCTTCCCTTCCTCCTCCTCCCACTGGCCACCCTTAGGCTTGTCCAGGCACGCAGGTCTCCACACTACCACCAGGCCCGCTGTGTTCAGTTGTACAGGCTGCACACCGCACATTCCCAGATCACGTGGGCATGGCTCCCTTAGAGTCGTGAAACACAGCAGCCCTGACCTCCACTCTTCCTGACTTGGATGAGGAGGTGATTCTTTTTTCTAGCTAGGAGTAGAACTGGGACCTTTAATCTGATCTCTGAAGAAAGACGCTGAAGGTCATTAGCAATCAGAAGATCAGGTGATGCCTAAGATGAAATTGATTTCTTTAAACTGAGTCCAATACCCAATACCAGTCGAGATCTGACACTGCACCATGGGTGGAGCATGCGTCTAGCTTGCTGCAGTGGGGATCGGGATGTGACCAACAGCCTGCAGAATGGGAGGCCTCTGCAATGGAGCCAGTTCTGCCTCTGAGAACAGAGAGGATGCTAACGGCGTCGTCAGCAGAGTTTACCAAAGAGGAGAAATAATGTTGAAGGCACGAGGTTGCCCCGATTCACAGCAAACCCTCCCGCTCCGAATCTCAAAGCAACACCTGCCCCTCTTCTGAGTGAGGCCTGGGCATGTCTGAGTGTCCCAGGGGGCAGGTCCAAGATGTGCATGGTCAGACCACATCTGCTCTGGTGGGAAGGCCTCTGCTCGTGGGCTCAGGACTGACCACTGGGAGGCCATGATGCTCCCACCCTCTTGGGCCTTGGCTGTGGTGCTAAGAAGCATTGTCCCAGGAATGCTGGGTAATCACACTCACCCAGAGAGACTGTGGGAACTCCGGGGCTTTCTATTAAAGGAGATATCGGTTATGCCTAAATACTCCTTTTAGAACCATCATAAGGCTGCATAAGAAACAAGATTTCTCATAAAACAATAGGCACTAAAAATACATCACTGAATAAAGGAAGCATGCTTTGGGAAATTTCCATGGGGGAAAAAATCATATCAGAATTGATATGATGAATAGACAGGGCTTTAACTCTAAAAATATATTACAAAAGATGTCTAACAAATACAAAGTTCAAACAATTAGAATCAGACCCGACCGTGGGCTTACAGGAAACGGCCTCATTCTAGGCCTTTCTCTTCAGGGGACCTCCGCACACCACAGGACCCCCAGCAGGCTGGGAAAGAGAGAGCAGCTGTCGCTTCTCCATAATGCCTCAAATCTGCTGAAATGGGAGAGGGTCTGGCAGACCCCTGCATGCCTCTGAGTGTGTGACCGCAAGCAGACAGATCCTGTGACCCACCCGTGACTTCTGAGCCGGGATTCCAAGTGTGACGCAAGTGAAGTCGCAGGTGTGGTTTCAAGGTCTCCCTGGAAGGGCCCGGAGTGGCCGGTGGAGAGCTCTACTGTGTCAAAATCGAAGCCGACTTTCTGGACTTCACTGCTCTCTCCTCTCTGAGCTCCCACTGGGCCTTCTGAGAGGTCATGGGGTGTCTTATCTGTTGTCTAACTATTTCGAGGTACTCTGTCCTTGGCGAGC